GATGGAACCCAGCACTCTAGATTTTATAAAGCCTTCCAGGTTATCCTGGTACATGCCAGAATTTGAGGACCACTGCTGTAAGCCATTGCTGTTTATGAAAATGGTCAAAAGGATTAAAAATATAGACTATACTTAGACTTGTACAGAATTACAATGTACATGGCATAATACATATTAACTATAATAATAAAAATATTTTATATGGCTCAATTAGGCATTGAAGAGGCATTATATGAGTTGAGATATACTCATTTCCTTTTCTTGTGATAAAGGGGCATATACCAAGAGAAATATCCATAGCTTTCTTTACAGTGGGCATGTGTAATTAACCCAATTTTCACGGCATCATTTGGAAGAGGTGACTACAGCACTGTTTCTTAACAAAGCACTTTATGTAGGACAAGCCTCAGACTAAGTAAGGTCAAAGAGGTGATTTACCCTCCAGTGCTCAACACCTTGACAGCAGTCTTTGCTTCATTAATTGAACTAAATTATTAGACATGTAACAAAAACAGCCTTCATGAAAAGAAGATGATGAGGAGTGGGAGATGAGATAAACATGTTAGGAGACCTAGGACTTGAATCTCAGGAAAGCTTTGAAATTGGGTAAGAACACTTGTGGTTTCGAGAATATTAGCTTCATTTATTGGGTGCCTACTAACTGCCAGACACTGCAATATGACTTCACCATAGGTATTACTTCCATTTTACAGATGAAGACACTGAGATGGAGAGCTCAAGTAATGTGTTCAAGGTCACATCATAGGTGGTTAGCTTGTTGGGTGTAAGAAGGCACAGAGCAAGTCCCTTAACTAGCTTGTCTTCTTTACTTTATGCATTTTCCTTTATGCCTTGGTCCTGTCATTGATATAAGAATAGAAGGGCCGCTAACACTTCTTGCAGGCCCTTTTTAATATATAAGGCATATTTCAGAAATGCTCACACTAGAATGGTACAGTACATGGCAGGCTTCCCCGGAGGCATGAAGATGAACTTCCAAAAAAGTTAGTGCAGTACAGTGATGAGAACATGTGGGTCTCACAGACCTGTTGTTGAATTCTGGCTCTACAACTCATTAACTCTCTGACCTTGAGTATATGATTAATTCTCAGTGTCTTAGGTCAAATTCCTTAAAGTTAGAGCCTGAGATGGGGGGTTTTGGGCAAATATTTTATTAAAGAAGTGCTCTCAGGAGAAATCTGAAACAGAATGAAGGAAGCAGGAAAGGGAAGGGGAAAATGCTGAGCAAGATTGTAGAATCCAGCTCAGCTAGAATCTAGCTGATCCCACAGGGAGATTTGAAGTGTGAATTGTACCAGGGAGTTGGTTCCATGGGAGATCAGCTTTTGGACCACTCTGTTAGTAGGTTTTTGTCTAGGGGTGGCCATGGAGGGACACAATATCCCTGTGTTATGTTTCTGTCATAAGAGGGCAATTCTCAGGAGAAAGGGGCAGCTTTGAGCATTAACTGCCATTATTCACAGTGGTCATGGTCTCAAAGAAATTTAGATAGGATGGTACAGCTCCTACTATAGTCACTCTCAGCTTGTTTTGTATATAAAATGTAGTGCTGGTGCCCGCTCAAAGCTGGTATTGTAAGGTTTGAATGACATGATGCATTCAGAAGCTTAAACACAGTGCCAGGAACAGAGTAAGCACTAAAGCATTGTTAACTATGTATCCCTCCCTTCTTATCTTTTGTTTGAAATGATGAATATTTTCTCAAAAAAATCACTGTATATCCTGCCCACAGCCTTCAGATTAGAAGAAAATATTTAGGAAGAGTTATTTACTCTTCCTTAAAAAATATTTATTTAGCACCTACTGTGTGCTAGTTACAGTTCTAAGTTATAGTTTTAAGTAAGACAGACAGGATCTTTGCTCTAATGGCACTACCATTCTATTGTAGAAGAACAGACAATAGCCAACAAAGAAACTAGCAAATATTAGCTATGATAATATATGTTGAGGGATATAATCCAAAATGGACTGGAGAGTTACCTTAAATTGAGTGGTAAAGAAAGTCTCTAAAATGCTATTGACTTGAAGGTAAAGAATGAGTTGGCCATTCAGAATTATGGGAGAAGACTGTTTCAGGCAGTGAGATCAACTAATGCAAATGCCCTAAGGCAATAAGAAAGTTAGCAATTCAAGGTGCAGAGGAAAGGCCAGAGTGCTGGAGTGTAGAGAACAAGGAGAGAATGGTGATCAGAAATAAGCTTAGAATATAAGGTTGGAAGGCAGACAAAGGCTAGATCTTTTAGAGCCACAGTGAGGTGTTCTTAGAAATTTTGATTTTATCATAAGTCTCAAAGGAAGCCATTGGTAAATTTACACAGGGGAGTAAAATGAACTCCATATATATGATAATTCCAACAACTTTGTGAAGAATAGATTATAGAACAAAAGTAGAAGCAAGATAATGTCTTTGAGGCAAAGTATTGGAACACAGAAAATAGATGTAAATGAATTAGGAAAATGTTTTGGAGGCAAATTTGGTAGGTCATGTTGACTGATTGGATGATGGTAATGAGAGAAAAGGAGAAATCAATGATGAGCCCTTCATGCCTCTTGGCAAATGGTTAAGCTCTTTACTGAGATAGGAAAGATCAAGAATTTTGTGTATCACAGAAAGAAGGAAGCTAATAAAGAAAAAGATGTAGGGAGTAAAATGAAAGAAGAGGAATGTGCCACAATGTCAAAATAAAATGGAGACTATGTAAAATTAGAAGAAAATGAAGTAAATAAGAATAAATAAAAATTTGCTAGTACAGGTTGGAAAATTTGGTATGAGCTGCTTTGGAGTTTGAAAGGCTTGTTCAAAGGAGTTTGGTCTAGTGATCAGCATTTTCAGAGAATGGTAAATTCAAATTTATTCTTCCAGTTCCTCTAAAAGGAAGCATCTAGGGGTATTTAGGTTCTGGAATCTTGGAAAGACTGAGAGTTTACTTTAAGAATTAGTGTGTGTGTGCATGTGTGTGTGTGTGTGTGTGTGTGTGTGTATTTTCAAATCTAGTCATCAAAGGCATAAATACCAGGGATAAAAACCTTTTTAAATACAGATATTTTCTGAGTGGTATACTTTGAAAATCTCAATAGATGGATAGAAAAAGTAGCAAAGTCTCAGCTTTTTTCATTAGCCCAACTTCTTTCTGGAGACAGGAGGCAGGAGCTAGCATTCTATTTCCATCATATTCAATAGTAAAAAATTATGCATTTCTCCTTCAAAGATTTAAAATTAAAGAAAAATATTTTGGGGTTGGAAACTTGGGAGCAATGTGCTCTGCTGATCTGTTTGTCCAAGACCAAAAATTCCAAAGAGCTTAGAAGAAAACACAACAGAAGCCCTTTTGTAGCTTGGTTCTTATTTCATTATTCTTCCTTCAAGGCCAACTTTATTCTTCCCAATTAAGCTTCCTTCTATTTTAATATTTTAAAATATTAAATAACAAAAATTTATTTTTGTTATAGGAGGAAGAACTCTAAAGGTTATAGGAGGAAGATCAATATAGAGGTGGTTGGGACATTGAGATTAGTTTTCATGGCTATATTGTTATGTTTCTGAACTAGCTACCAGAAATCAGCGGAAATACTGGGATTTCTTCAGAGCCAACTGAAATCGTTTAGTGGCCATCCAGTTGGAGTTGGGACCCTCCCATCAGAAACTTCTCTTCCTTCTACTCTTTTAGTGGCTGAAAGATAAGATGTTGGTGCTGTTGAAAGAAGATAATGATGGATCCTAGTTGAGAGTTTTGATACTTCTGTCATTTCCAGTCACCCTTGAAATTGTCTGAGTGGGCATTAATTGGAAAGTGTAATGGGATAAGCCAGTCTCAAGCATCAGGAAATTATGCCCAATGATAACAATTGAGATGATTAGAGGAAAAGCATCATTTCTTGATAACTGTTATGCTCCTGGTTTTAAATGGACCTGTTATACATATTATTGTATTTACTCATCATGTCAACACCTGAGCATCATAATTTCCATGTGAGAGCATTCCTGTCTAGTGGGATCTGAGGTATGGAAACATCAGGCAGGAAAAGTTGGGTGACATCTCTTCTTCTAGGTTACCTTATGTATAGCTTGATTTCAAAATTTTTCTGCACAGGGAAAATAACTTGAATTGGAATGAACTCAGCAGGGTGTTACGACAGAAGACAAACTTCAGCGAGGCACTCTGGAGACCCCAGTCAGTGTCCATTCCAACAGAAGGAAAGAGCATGATGAGGCAGATTCTGCAATAGGGACTGCATTGATGTTGGCCCTGAAACTGGCACATGACACTCTCACAACATATATGAACCATTGGAAGAAAAGGGCAACTTTTCATACGAGAACTCTAGTTGATGCTGTCCAGTAAGATTTTCTGGTGTGAAGAAATTGTTCTATATTTGTGCTGGCCACATGGAGCTCTTCAACACTTGAATTGAGGCTAATATAGCTGAGGAAATGGATTTTAATTAAGTGACCACATATGTCAAGTGTCTACCACAGTTAAATGCTTCAGTATCTACAGTGCTGTGGGATTCCCCACTATTAAGCATAGCATAATAAAGCCAAGTTTCAGTTGTGGAAGTTAGTACAGGCAAAGTGCAGAGTGTGGAGTGAGAGATGTCAGAGTGATATAGCCCAAACCAGTTTATAGTCTGATAGGGATCAGCTTATGTATTGGACTTCTTGTATAAGCAGGGGAAGGTTTAGAGCTGGCAAAATATGTGTATTAATGACCTCATTTGGACCCACATGGTAGTGAGTTTTGGGTTATTAGAGGGAACAATTAGGCTCATTGCTTTGCACAGTGCTCAACACCAGCTCTAGTCCTTACCACATTGCATGCACTTGATAAATATTTGTATTTGATGAATGAATGGCTAAATGGGATATAAAGGTACTCCCCTGAAAGCATTGTATCAGTTAGCTGTTGCCATAATAATGCTGCATAACAAAGTGCCCAAAACTCAGTGACTTAAAACAAGATTCATTTATTCTTGTGCAGAGACCAGGAGATTAGCTGTGATGGCCTGCATTATGTGAATTCACTTAGGGGAACAAGAGAAGCTCTTTTCATGGAGATGGCAAAAACCCAAGAGGAAAAGCAGAAGCTTCTAAGTTTTTAAGGTGAGTCCTCAGAAGTGTCATAATGTCACTTCTATCCACATTCCATTGACCAATACATATCACCTCACTAATCCCAAAGTCAAGTTTTGAAGTACACTGTGCTTGTAGCATGAGAGAGAGAACTATGAAGTTACCTAGCAAAAAATGTAGTTCATGAAGAGGTGAGAAATTGAGGCCCAAAATTCAATCTTCCATAGTCATGTGGCAATCTAGGGTCAGATCTGGAGTTCATTCTAATTTCTTCCAGTTCCATAGTCCATGCTTCTTCCTCTACTCTAAATTCTTCAAGTGCATTCAAAGACAGTTTTACTATCCATGTGACTCCTAGTATCCAGGGCAGATGTTATATTTCCATCCTTCAAAAAATCTGATATACTGCTTTTAAAATTTTTGTTATTTATCTCATTGAATGATTGTCATTTTTGTGGTACTGGACTGAATTCAATCCACATGATTTGGCTCTGTCATAGAGTTGGAGGTACAGTCGCATGGAGGTTCAAAGAATCTGTTGGTCTGCAAATATTTTTGCTTTGATCATGGCCCATTTCATGGGTCTGGGATGCTGCTGCCAATGGCCGGAGCACAAGAGAATGGAACTTTCAGTCCCAGTGCCCTGGGCTTAGTTTTTCAACTTTGACTGAGGTTCCTTGCTGCTCACAGAACCCACTATTTCCTATTTTAAAAAAATGTTCAGTTAAAAATACATACAGCAAAATTCTATTTTTTTGTGTATAATTTATAATTTTGATGGATGTATCCACCAACACAATTAAGATATATCCATCACCTGCAAAGTTCCCTTGTGCTTCTCTTTGGTAGTCAATCCTTCCCCACATTTCCAGACTTTTCTAGAATTTTACAAGTTAGCCTTTTGAGTCGGGCTTCATTTAGTTAGTATGATGCATTTGAGATTGACCCTGCTCTTGTGTGTATCAATAGCTTGTTCCTTTTTGTTTCTGAGTAGTATTCCATTGTAAAAACATATAAAACTTCATTTATCCTTTCTGTGGTTGAGAGACATTTGATAGTTTTGACAGTTATGAAAAAGCTACTATAAATATTGGCATATAGGTTTCTGTGTGAATGTTAAGTTTTCATTTTTCTTGGGAAAATGCTTACTGTGGAATTGCTGGATTGTATGACAAATGCATGTTTCGATATTCCAATTCCCTAACAGAATACTGGAACCCAAACTGATCTTTCAAGAAACAACCAAATTGTTTTCCAAAGTGGTTGTACCATTTTGCATTTCTACCAATAGTGTATAAGAGTTCCTATTGTGACTTTTAATTTCTATTTTCTATTTTGCCACTTACTTCTTTATATGAATTTGCAATCCCAGACACCATTTTGATTTTCTTTTTGCCTTCCCTTGTAGTTTAAAAAAGGCTGGTGCCTGGATCACATCTGGTTTTTTTGAATAATTGTATCACAGTTCTCTGCATGGTGTAATAGATGAGAATGTTGGAGTTTGAGTGCATAGAATTGAAATATTAATTTGCCATTATTACACTAAGCATCTGAGGGCATTTTCCTTCTTGATCCTTGTTACTTTAATACAAAAATGAAGGTACTGGTCTGGATAATATATATAGTTTCTATAAAGCTGAATTAATACTTTATGGTTTCTTAGCCCTTACAGAAATTTGGGCCATCAACCTATCATCATTTGTGATACTTTTCCATCCAAATTCCTGACTTTGGCCTTTACCATTTCAATGTATGCTGGCACAGCTCTCAACCTCCAGCCATCTGCCTCTTTTTGTTTGAGAGCGTTCTCCTGTCATCAAAGGTCACTCTGTTCCCATGCATGGCAGGTTGGAGTGCCATGGAATTAACACAACTAGGAGCAGCCCTCAGTCACTGACTGAGAGAAAAAATAGATTGAATTAGTGTATAAACACTTCATCTTCTGCACCCTCTGGGTGGGATAACTTTGAAGTTCGTGGTTCTATACTAGCTCCCAGAGTTGCCTAGTGGGTTTAAGCTCTGGTTCCCAACAGTGGTAACTTGCTTGATAATGCAAACTTTATTGGCTGCCCTCTCTTCCATGTTTGATTTCTCTGCTCTCTTGCTGGTCCCTTTGCTTCCCCAGATCAGCTACTCAAAATCATTTCTTGGCTCTGTGTCTCCTTGGGGAATCCATACCAAGCCAGACTTGTCTCTGATTTCTTTCCTCAACTTCCTTTTTGGTTGCCTTTTCTATTCTTCAGTAACTGAGTCTAGTAAAACTTATATCTAGTTCTCTAGTTCCTGACATATTCTAAATGTTCCTGCTCTCTGCTGCCCATGAACATGATATAGCATTTGCTGTGGTCAAAAAGATTATGGCTAGGGGAGGCACATTTGTATAAAGTTGTGTAAGTGATTTAAACTTCTCCAACTTCAGTTATAACATCTGCAAAATGAGAATAGTGGACCCCACAATAAAAATAGTTTAGACCTTTAAATTTCCTATGGGATTTTAGTGGATAGTATAGGTCATCAGCATAAATTGGCCCTTGTATTTTTCATGGTCTGATCACTTATAGACCAGGGCCTATCTCTTTCATGGCTGACCACTGTTCAAGAACACACATTAAGAAGTCAGTTTGTTTTTATCTGTGTATTTGGTTTTCTATTGATGGGAAATGATATTTCATAAGAATGGTAAAAACTGATTGCATTTGGCTTTTCATTATGAGAATGTGATATAATATATTTGTGCCATAGTTCCTATCTCAAGAGGTCATTTCGATAAAATATAGTTTCTTTCAGTGTTGCAAATCAGGATTTAAGCAAAAATCACAGAACATATCATAATTGTGTATTGGGATTGGGTGAAAGAAAAAAATACATGAAAACAAATGTCTTATTTTTGCTTTGAACCTCAAACATAATGAAAGACAGAAGACAGAGCAAAACAGAATCTTAGAGTTAGAAACACCATGAAGAGCTAGCCGGTAACAATAATAGTAATAGCTGATGTTTACTGAATACTGGGGGTGTCCCAGGTAGCTTTCTAAGTGCCTTGCAGATGCTCCTTCCACAATAACCTCCTGAGGTTGGTTTCATTATCATCATGCCCAGTTTACAGATAAGAAAACAATTTTTATTTAATTAATAAAAAATTAATTAACTTGCCAAAGGTTGCAATGCCAATAAGTAGTAAGACAGGAGTCAAATCCAGAGGCCAGACCCTGGAGTAGACACTATTAACCTCTGTGACATACTGCCTCCCCAGCTTGAGTAGCACTGTTGTGAAGAATCCATGGTTTTCAACACATTTTGTTTCATGTTGAGTAATCTCGGTTCCTTTTCATGAGTGTAAATAAGCTTTTAAGTTTTTTAAACCCTTTGATCCTGGTTTTAACTTCCAGGAAAGGTTACTTGTATCTTGACAGACTTTGAACTTTACTCCCTCACAATGTTCTCTCCTCCATAATAAATAGGTCCTAAAATCCTTGCTACAAATCACTTATGCAGTGTATGTATTCATGATCACTAGAAGTCTGCTGGACATCTCTACTGGTAATTGCTGGAGATAGCTCTTCACCAGGCATCAATTTATATTAGGTTTATATCATGCCCAGTCTTTGGCTTGTTTTCAAGGAAGGTGGGTTCAATCAGATCAAATGGAAGAAATATTCTATGGGAAGAAATGAAGAGATCCAGAAACAATTAGTATATGTGTAAATATACAATGTTTAAATTTTTTCTTATTTTTTAGAAACATCATTCACTATTTCAAAAAATAAGTAATGTATTCTGGGGTTTATAACATATAACAATCACATAAAGATGAAAGAGAAGTAAAAGAATTCATACATTAGATGTGATGCTATCTAATATTAATTCAAGGTAGAGTGTGATGTTAAAAATGCACATTATAATCCTTAATATGACTACAATAAAAATAATCAAACAGGTATAGTTAAAAGAAGGTTAAAGAGGTATAGATAGAAAAGGATACTAAAAGATACTTGATCAATCTAAATAAAAACAGGCAAAGCAGAAACAAAGGAACAAAGCAAAGTAGAACAAACAGCAAACTAATAGCGTGTAGTATTTCAAACCAAGTCATATTAATAATTACATTAAATGTTAATGGACTAAACACTCAAATTAATAGACAGAGATTAATGGACTGAGTGAAAAAATAAAGTCTACCTATGTTTTATTTACAAAGGATACATTTTCTTTTTGTTTTCAAGATTTTACTTATTTATTTAGAGAGAGGGGAAAGGAGGGAGAGAGATAGGAAGAGAAACATCAGTGTGTGGTTGCCTCTCACATGGCCCACACTGGGGACCTGGCCTGCAACCCAGGCATGTGCCCTGACTGAGAATCAAACTGGAGACTTGTTGGTTCACAGCCTGAGCTCAATCCACTGAGCTACACCAGCCAGGGCTACATTTTCTATATAAAGACACAAAGAGGTTAAAGTAATAGGGTGAGAAAATACATACCCTGGAAGGGACTGACCACATAAATGGGAATGTCTGTCTTGCCTGCGGCAGGAAAAATAGAGTATTATATAGATGTCCAAAGCCTTAACAGAGAAGGAGGAAGAATGACTCCCTGCAGCAAGGGAATGCTGGTGCTGATGTATGCTGAAACCATTTCCTCAGAGATTTGGCAAATTTAGCAAACAATGAAATATTGTCCTTCTCTTTCTACTTTGGAGAGAATTGCCAATAAGTAGCCATGTTCAGTGGTGTGGAATCGTGTTTTTGTGCCACCTTCACCAGGATGGCTCTTGAGTTTAACCCACTGTCTGTGCTATGAGCGGTAGCTGTTACATGATTAGGGTACCAATTTCATTCACCAGTTGGAGGTTGGTGATATAAAGTTAGCTGGCTGCCATCTTTTTTCCCAGTTCAGTATGTCTTCCTTTCATGCTGGCCCCATGACAGTGGCTGTTGCCAAAGCAAACAATGACAGAATATAAGAAAGAGAAATGAACTGTTAGCATATTTATTGCTCAAATTTTGCTGGTGGACTGAAGGGTGTAAAAATGA